GGGCCCTGTACTTGGGTGGGGCCGACTGTCCGAGCCACGGAACATGAGGCATGTTGAAGTCTCCAGCAATGATCTTATGGCGTGAAGGGAGAAATGAGACTTCCTGAAAGAGTCTGACCAATTTGTTAACGCTAGCACAAGAGGAGTGCGGTGGATTGTATAAACAGCCTATCAAGAGGTCCAGATGACCTCTAACGGCCTGAATCCAGACTGAGTCTTCAGAGTTGCCAAGAGATATGGTGTGGAAAGATGATGCGTAAAACTCGTTCTTGACGTATATGAGGCATCCGCCACCACGTGAACTGGCACGTTCATTACAGAAAGTGGTGTACCCTGGAATGTGGAGCGGTGCGTCCGAAGCGTCGGATGAGTGCCATGTTTCTGTTATCAACACCATATGCAGGCTTGACAGGAGGATGAAGGGGCCTAGAAGGTGCATTTTATTTTTAATTGAGCGTACATTGAGGAGGAGGAAAGGGTACGAGTCGTATTCGCATCGTCCCGTCATCGGGCCGTCAGATTCTGTATTAGGGTCGTAACAAGACAGTGGTAGAGGCGTTTCCGATGCACTGTAATCTACAGTTCCCGGGTTGCATACATCAGGCGATGTGGCAGCGAGTACTGTTGCTACTGGTATGGGGACAGCTCCTACAAGTGCAGGAGTAAGCAGATGTTGGCGATGGAGGGTGTGTGTGCTTGAAGAATGTGACGTAGCGGGCCTAGTCCCGGCAAGTTTCATAAGATTTGGGCAGCTCTATCTGTATTGGCAGAAATTGACATAGTGCCCAGGATGTGGGGTAACAAAGACGCTGAATGGTGTGGATATGGAAACAGTCTTTTAGGTGCGTTCAAGACCGAAGCGGGAGCCGAAGTGAAAGTGGAGTGTGAAAAGACAGCATCAGGGCGAAAAGAAGATGGGTAGGTGCTAGTAACTTCGCCAGCAACCTGGTAAAGAAATGGGTAGTGTGGGAATTCGCAACTGGCAAGGCATTCTGTCTGAGTTGGCATGACGTTGGATTGTTCAGGGGAACGTTCGTAGGTGGAAAGTTTGAAGGTTACCAACTGTGGGTCGCTAGAAGGCAGCCAGGAAGTTGAGGCTGGCTGTAGACTGTTGATTGCAGAAGGTGCAACAGTTGTGCTAGATGGAACGGTATTGGTTGGTATGTATAAGGCGCGCCGTGTCCCACATTGCCCCATAAAAAAGGGGTAGAATTCGTGGGGGCTAAGGTAAACTGCCTTGGATGAGGTGCGTATTTGGCCTGGTTTGTACATTCCTCTTGCGTAGACGACAGTGGCGCAGGTAGGTAACTCGCCTTATTAAGTAAACCCTTCCGCTACGTCCGACTACGCTTCGTCCGCGACATATGAAGTTCATGTGATCGCAAGTGAGCGGTGTTGCGACTAGAAATGACTTGTTTGGCAAGTTGTTTCGCCGGCACGAATGGTGTTCTTCATAGTCTTTTCCACCTTTCCTCAATCTATACTTTTCGTTCCAGATCCTATTCCTTTCTCTTCGCGCTCTCTGTTAGAATTCTTTTTTCAACTGGAGGGATATCTATTCGGGTCCGGCTCTAATCTCGCCTCGCCTGTTCAGTCTCCCACTTTCTAATACTTTCCAAACATCCGAGGCGAAAATGATCAGTGCTTTGCAGCCGCAACAAACTGTCCCTCAGCCTGGGAGCTTCTCGCGGCATATTATATGGCTTTTCATCTAGTCACTGCCGTCTTGCATTACCTCTTTTCTTATGACACCCATTAATGTTATACCCACTTTAAGTTTCTGAACTAGCTTCAAGTGGCTGACTTACCCTGTCTAGTCGGAACGGCCACCTTATTTCTTACTTCTCTCGGACTTCTGAAACCTAATTAATCAAGGCTTTGCCTACACAACGTTTTGTGACTCACATGGCAAGAGCATTGCTGGTAGTGATTCAAGGTTTCTATTATACTCCCATTTCATCCTTAACACGCCTATTTCTGCCGATGCTCCCTGCTAGCATTCCGACACCACTAAAGCGGCTTTTACTTTTTGAGCCGACATTCTAGTCCCGTCTTACTGGTTACTTGCTTTCCGGCTCCTAAAGCATTACCGATAAATGCATGGTAGGTCCACAGGTAGGTTTAAAACCCATCGAGATCTTTGTAGGCGTTTTCAACTTCTCCGCAATGGATTCCTATCCTTGCCGATCCCATTCATTTTTCCGACACTCGGTGTGCATTCCTTTATTAATTGCATGGATATCTCTTTGAGCCTGGCTCTAACCTAGCCGCATTTGGCCAAGCCTCATTCTGCTTGCATCCAGACATTCGTGGCGCAAAGAATTCAGGGTTGTAGTCCCAACACTCTGTGTCACTCATCTTTATTGCTTTGCTGATGATGCCATATACGTATTCCGGCTCAACAATGGCACCCTTACATCAATTACAGCGCTGGGCATAATTTATCTGTCTTTTTATTAACAAGGATGTAGCCACCCCTGAAAAAGTAGTTAGCTTTCCACCTCCTCAATAGATCCCCTTTACCAACCCTTTTCTGTCCTTCACTTACTTTCTTTTGCATTCCTGCTTCAATTGACGCAAACTAACATGTCTTTGTCCTCCAGGACTTCGTAATAAGCTAGGACTGAAGCAAAGTGTAAACTTTGCTTCTGCTGAGCGTTATTCTCTTCTATAATCCGCACATCTTGTCCTCCGCTCTCTAATCCCCACAGATTGAGCATATGCGTTTTAGAACCCCTAAACTCTCTTTGCTTTATTTTCTTTTCTATGTTAGAACAATATTTCCCCCTCTACTCTGCTCTTCCCGCTTGGCGTCGTATTTCGCCACTTATGCTACATGTGTATACGCGATAGTTAAATAACATTTACATTATACAAGGTTACAATAGTTCCGTCATATTTAAATTGATCGACTTCGTTCCGGATGCATTTCTTTAGTTTGTCTGTGTAACTGCCTGTTTGTTGCACGTTCCCAGGATTTTCACAGGTACGGCCTCATGCACTCGAAGAATTCTCCATCTTCGTGACAATAATATAATACGTGGCACATAACCCCTTAGCTGGTTATGGGTGGAAAATAAGCAGCAGCTTTAACAGCTTACTAACGGGACAACTTATTCGTCATCTTGCTATGGTACAAGTTTCTCGCGCCTTCAAAAATTGGGTACAGTTAGCCTAACAATGCCTCTTTCACACACTTCTTGCCGGGAGCACTGCATTTGGCTTTGGAAAGCACCTTCCGCCAAACAAGGCCAAAGCAATTGATCCTGCTGAGCTCTTCACCCCGCTTTGACCGTTCAATTGGCCGTGGTTGCCTGCGGGTTCAATCAGTTTTCCAACTTGCCTCAAGAGGATCACCGATCTTCTTTTCGAAACCATTTCCTGTCTTTTAGGACTTCAATATATTTCTATTTATATCCCTCGAAGACTTCACGTGGCTTTGCAGGTGATCGACACAACACATTTAAAACATATATTTTATTCATGACCTGCCTACCGGGCACAGCCATTCGTTAAATACAGTACAGGACCCAGGAACGCAATAGACACTCGCGCAATGCATCAGCCAACACAAATGTGGAACGCAACTTGACTGCGGATAACCGAGCGAATAACAGTTCAACAGGAAGCGTAGCCAATTACAACTTGCCATTCAATGGATGGGTTGCACTGTTTCAGGATGTGGTGGGATTTTGCCTGGCAAGCGTTTTCTCTATAAAAAGCCACAAAGGTCAGTTTAACAACACGACAACGTAGCGAATGTGACTCGTCACCGAGTAAAGTCACAGACTATAAGCTAACACTAACATGTCAACTAGCGTCACCATTTTAGATACGTTAGTTACACCGTAGCTTCTGCATTTGTATATCCGGTCGTCTCTTTTTTCTACGATTTCACGCATATACGGTTGCCGCTTTATTTTCTACCATATCGCCGTTGATCTTTAAGTTAGATACGCACGAACTCCGTATATTTTCATACCTCTCTCGATCGTGCTCCTTAATTATCTTCTAATAGATCACTCCAGATTAATTATCAATTATTAGCTGAGGTAATACTGCAATACATGGCATACCGATTATGCCCAAACAAACGGATGCCGAGCTCACTACATCCCAATTATTGTTTCAAATTTCCACCGTGGGGCCAGCTGGGTGGTTCGGGTAAATCCCGTTCCAGCAAATGATTTGGTGGCAGTGTTCCAGGATGTGGTAGGATTCCGCGTGGCAAGCGTTCTCCCCATAGAAAGCTGCTAACGGCGCGAATTCGGAACGGTGCGTATTTTTCGCGTTGCTGTTCAGCTTTTTGAAAAGTGCGTGTAACCACTTTGTCGGTCTTTTTGTGTTACTACTCAGTAGCACAATATATTCTATACTACCTTCCTCATCGCTTTTGCAACTCTCGATCGTTTTCCGTGTCTTACCAATTTTTACGGGTTTCACGTTGTCTATTGCTTTGTCATTCTTTGTTTACCCCTGACCAATGCGTGCTAAACGTTGTAATCCCTCTCTTTCCTCAAAGAGACCAGTGCAGACAGCAGCAACGAGAGCACCCTCAGCATATTAAATAAATAAAATAAATGAATAATTTTTTTATTCTCGACAATGCGAGACACACCTTTACAGGCATGATCATATTTAGCTCACTTGGTGTGGTCAAATTGTACAAAAGGACGTGTTTGGCATAACAGTATATGTAAGTATATGGGTGTATATATGTATGTAATTGTGTAGAAATGTAGCTTGTGTTCTTGAATGCGCCGCAGAGTTTTGTTTATTTGTTATCGTCAGGAATGTGATAATAAGCGATTGAGTTTCGTGGATTGGATAGCAATTTCCTGAATATCCACGGGCCAGTGACTTTAGTTTGTGACCAGTCACATCCGCCACGTCGCAGTGTTGTTAAGCAGACGTTTGTGGCTATTTGTAGGGAGAACGCTTGCCAGACGAAACCCCACCACGTCCTGGAACACTGCCGCCGAAATATTTGCTGGAACGGGTTAAACCCGAACCACCAAGCTGGCACCAGGAGGAGGTTGTTCGGCCCCACCCCCCCCCCCCCCCCCCCCCCCCCCCCCCCCCCCCCCCCCCCCCCCCCCCCCCCCCCCCCCCCCCCCCCCCCCCCCCCCCCCCCCCCCCCCCCCCCCCCCCCCCCCCCCCCCCCCCCCCCCCCCCCCCCCCCCCCCCCCCCCCCCCCCCCCGCCCCCCCCCCCCCCCCCCCCCCCCCCCCCCCCCCCCCCCCCCCCCACCCCCCCCCCCCCCCCCCCCCCCCCCCCCCCCCCCCCCCCCCCCCCCCCCCCCCCCCCCCCCCCCCCCCCCCCCCCCCCCCCCCCCCCCCCCCCCCCCCCCCCCCCCCCCCCCCCCCCCCCCCCCCCCCCCCCCCCCCCCCCCCCCCCCCCCCCCCCCCCCCCCCCCCCCCCCCCCCCCCCCCCCCCCCCCCCCCCCCCCCCCCCCCCCCCCCCCCCCCCCCCCCCCCCCCCCCCCCCCCCCCCCCCCCCCCCCCCCCCCCCCCCCCCCCCCCCCCCCCCCCCCCCCCCCCCCCCCCCCCCCCCCCCCCCCCCCCCCCCCCCCCCCCCCCCCCCCCCCCCCCCCCCCCCCCCCCCCCCCCCCCCCCCCCCCCCCCCCCCCCCCCCCCCCCCCCCCCCCCCCCCCCCCCCCCCCCCCCCCCCCCCCCCCCCCCCCCCCCCCCCCCCCCCCCCCCCCCCCCCCCCCCCCCCCCCCCCCCCCCCCCCCCCCCCCCCCCCCCCCCCCCCCCCCCCCCCCCCCCCCCCCCCCCCCCCCCCCCACCCCCCCCCCCCCCCCCCCCCCCCCCCCCCCCCCCCCCCCCCCCCCCCCCCCCCCCCCCCCCCCCCCCCCCCCCCCCCCCCCCCCCCCCCCCCCCCCCCCCCCCCCCCCCCCCCCCCCCCCCCCCCCCCCCCCCCCCCCCCCACCCCCCCCCCCCCCCCCCCCCCCCCCCCCCCCCCCCCCCCCCCCCCCCCCCCCCCCCCCCCCCCCCCCCCCCCCCCCCCCCCCCCCCCCCCCCCCCCCCCCCCCCCCCCCCCCCCCCCCCCCCCCCCCCCCCCCCCCCCCCCCCCCCCCCCCCCCCCCCCCCCCCCCCCCCCCCCCCCCCCCCCCCCCCCCCCCCCCCCCCCCCCCCCCCCCCCCCCCCCCCCCCCCCCCCCCCCCCCCCCCCCCCCCCCCCCCCCCCCCCCCCCCCCCCCCCCCCCCCCCCCCCCCCCCCCCCCCCCCCCCCCCCCCCCCCCCCCCCCCCCCCCCCCCCCCCCCCCCCCCCCCCCCCCCCCCCCCCCCCCCCCCCCCCCCCCCCCCCCCCCCCCCCCCCCCCCCCCCCCCCCCCCCCCCCCCCCCCCCCCCCCCCCCCCCCCCCCCCCCCCCCCACCCCCCCCCCCCCCCCCCCCCCCCCCCCCCCCCCCCCCCCCCCCCCCCCCCCCCCCCCCCCCCCCCCCCCCCCCCCCCCCCCCCCCCCCCCCCCCCCCCCCCCCCCCCCCCCCCCCCCCCCCCCCCGCCCCCCCCCCCCCCCCCCCCCCCCCCCCCCCCCCCCCCCCCCCCCCCCCCCCCCCCCCCCCCCCCCCCCCCCCCCCCCCCCCCCCCCCCCCCCCCCCCCCCCCCCCCCCCCCCCCCCCCCCCCCCCCCCCCCCCCCCCCCCCCCCCCCCCCCCCCCCCCCCCCCCCCCCCCCCCCCCCCCCCCCCCCCCCCCCCCCCCCCCCCCCCCCCCCCCCCCCCCCCCCCCCCCCCCCCCCCCCCCCCCCCCCCCCCCCCCCCCCCCCCCCCCCCCCCCCCCCCCCCCCCCCCCCCCCCCCCCCCCCCCCCCCCCCCCCCCCCCCCCCCCCCCCCCCCCCCCCCCCCCCCCCCCCCCCCCCCCCCCCCCCCCCCCCCCCCCCCCCCCCCCCCCCCCCCCCCCCCCCCCCCCCCCCCCCCCCCCCCCCCCCCCCCCCCCCCCCCCCCCCCCCCCCCCCCCCCCCCCCCTCCCCCACCCCCCCCCCCCCTCCCCCCCGCCCCCCCCCCCCCCCCCCCCCCCCCCCCCCCCCCCCCCCCCCCCCCCCCCCCCCCCCCCCCCCCCCCCCCGACGCCG